TATAATATATTATATTATAAAGTTTGTTTGTTTGTTCCATTCTTCGGGATAATCTCAGAAACTATTGAACCGATTTGACAAAATCTTTCACTGGTGGATAGCTTAGATCTTCCTGAGTATATCATCGCGTTGCAACGTCTAGGAGCCGAGCAGTAAAGAACGTGCGTGAAGTCGAAAAAAAATACGTCGTTCAGGCTCTATACTCTAATTTAACGTAAAAACTACACAACCGATTTTGATCAAACCTTTACCAATACGTTTCTACACATCTCAAGAGTTTTTAAGGATATGAATCATAATTGCCCATATTTGTCTATCTTCATAAATTCGCAACCACATACCGAGCGAAACGCGCGAGGAAAAAACGCCAGCTAGTATTATATAAAAATATTGAACTTTTTTGTTAAAAAACATAGGACTTTGGGTCTGTTCTTTATAGCTGAACTAGTTCAGAGCTTATCTTTCTTCTTCCAATGTGGAGAGAAAAAGATAAATTCTGAACTAGTGTAGCCAGTTCAACTATAAAGAACAGACCCTTTGTTAAAAATGAATTTTTTTTATTTTTTCTACTTCTTTTAAGCTTTTTCCAAATTAGTGAGGCAGTAACTATTCTACATATTTAACCTTATTTTTTATTTGCATTTTTAGATTATTAACATCTACATACATATATAGCTAATAAAATAAAACAAAAAATGAAATCAATAATACTGAACATTTTATTTTATAGGCTGTGAGCTGTTTATGTCATATATGCAAAACATACAAGGATCGTCTACATTCTTGTCTTCATTGTATATTCTTTGGCTGCTATATAAAAGGTCACATACAAGAGCATGCAAAAACGAAGAAACATTTTTTAGGTAATAGAATACTTTTTAGTTGAAGCTATTCTATATATTCAAACATTGTTGAAAATAAAGATTATAAATAAAATTATACAATGTAAACTTTAGTTCTATATTTTACAATTAATTGTTTGTTTTCATTTATATGATTTTAGCCGTTGATCTGTGTTATGGAAATATATTGTGCTTCCAATGCGGCGATTATGTATATGACAGAGAGTTGTTAGCAGTAGCAAAGGTGCAATGGAGCGAATCAGCAAAATCCTTGAGCTTCGGAGAGTTTTACCGGGCGTGGGAACCCACGCAGATAGAGGCCGAATTACTCAGAAAGCACCCGCGCCGAAGACGTGTCGTGGAAAATACCACTATAGGTATTTAACAGAAGAACTTAGCGTTTAATCTATATATCAGAGTTAATGCTAACAATAACTGTATCTGTACGATTCTAAGTTTTATTCAGTCGCATACAATATTGTGTTCAGAGATGAGTAACATAATTTGAAATGATCCATTTATCACTCTTTATATATAGTAGTATAAAAACCCATTTTATTTTGGCTATAGGTTTAAGAGGATTGATCAATCTCGGACAAACCTGTTTTATGAACTGTATTGTACAAGTGCTGATTCATACTCCCTTGTTACGAGATTACTTTCTTGCTGACCGTCATCACTGCCCACAACCAAGTCGCTGTCTGGTCTGCGAGGTATCCCATTTATTCCAGGAATTTTATTCAGGCAACAAGGCTCCGCTGACGCTTCACAAACTTCTTCATCTGATTTGGACACATGTCAAACATCTGGCGGGTTATGAGCAGCAAGATGCCCATGAATTCTTTATTGCCACACTGGACGTTCTTCATAGGCATTGCGAAGCTGCTCCAATATTAGTCAAGGACAACCCTCATCATTGTAATTGCATCATTGATCAGATATTTACTGGAGGCCTTCAAAGCGATGTTGTATGTCAGGTTTGCAAGTATGTGTTAATTTTTCATTTTTAAAGAAAGTGTATTTAGTCAATAGGAAAAATATTTTATATGTATAATATATCACACACACACTCACACTCCCACTCACACACACTCACACACACACACTCACCTATAAATTTGTTCTAAAACATATCAATTTTTTGTTTTAGTGGAGTGTCTACCACAATAGATCCATTTTGGGATATATCTTTGGATCTAGGTCCGGCTGCTGATAGCTCTGGTTCCGATACATCTGGGCTTCCTACTTCCCTGCTAGATTGTTTGGAGAGATTTACTAGAGCCGAGCATTTGGGTTCTACTGTAAAGATCAAATGTAGCAATTGCGAGACTTATCAGGAAAGCACGAAACAGCTAACAATGAAGCAGCTGCCAATCGTGGCCAGTTTTCATCTAAAACGTTTCGAACACTCCAGCATCCAGGATAAGATATGTAAAAAGGAGAAAATCTCCACATTCATTTCTTTTCCGGAACAATTAGACATGACGCCATTCATGTCGCACAAGCGTAATGGTAACAATAATAGCGCTATGATGGATGGTTTATCGAAGAATGGAGAGAACATGACTTTCAGTGACAATAGGTAGTGATAATCCACATAAAATAATTTATAATTTTCCTTTGTTTTCATTCGTTTAGCCAATTATACCGTTTTGAAAAAATGTACTTTAAATTAAAAAATCTAATTGCTAACAATAGGTACTCTCTGTTTGCCGTGATAAATCACAAAGGTTCGTTAGAGACTGGACATTATACTGCTTTCATCAGGCAACAGAGAGATCAATGGTTCAAGTGCGATGATCATTTAATTACAAAAGCTAGATTGAAGGACGTCTTGACTAGTGAAGGGTAAAATAATAGGCACTATACTCGAAGAGAATAAAAATAATCTATATTTATAAAAGAGAGAAAGAGAGAGAATTTCTTTTTTATATTCTTTTCATTAAATGTAAAAAAGAGAAAATTTTGATCATTAATTAAATTTTGCTTTTCAGATATCTTCTATTTTATCACAAGCAGATTTTGGAGTATGGCCGGAATAATAAAGTATGAAAGAGAGAGAGGAAGAAACAGAAGATGAATCAAGTTAAATAATTTAACTAAAATTTGGAAATCGCTACTGAAGTTAGACATCGGTGATGTTTTACATTTGCCGGAAATAAATTATTATCACCGTCGTTTTTTGATTTCTGCCGATGCATTTTATGTTCGATGGGTTACGCCGATTGATTACCCAGTCGAAATCTGTGCGTATGTCCTAAACATAATATAAGTGTAGATATTAAGATTAGCTCAATTTTTTTAAATCAATCAATTGCAATTTTTGTAAATCGCTCATTATTGTTATACTCTTGACTGGACACTTATATACATGATGCGATGGGAATAGGTCTCAAGGGCATCTCTTTCTTAATTTTGTCCTTTTGTCAGTGGAATGTCATTACCGATCTCTGAGATGTTCCAATGTACTTGTGATATTGGGTTTTTACAAAAAAAAAAACTGGATATTTTAAATTATTCAATATAATTAACAAGCAATTGAATAAAATTTCATACTTGAAAAAGCAAACGGATTCTTTGATATTACAGAAATTAATTGTTTATTATTAAATTCAATATTCTATATAAAACAATCTAACCTGATATTTTTCCATACATATAGAACTGTACACTGATATAATGAAATTATTTCTTAATCACAATGACTATCCCTAGATGACTCAATTTTGTGTACCAACGTAATAATATATTACAGTGTGAATATAGGAATATTGTCTATAATTCAAGATAGACTTCTTGCTGGACTTCATATAATAAAAATCTCTGACACATTCTAGTGCGGTTTATTTTTAGTTTTCTCTATACGTGTGTGTATGTACACATAAATATTTTTGCGTCCTTATCTGACACACATATACATCTGTCACCGCACGATGTCTCCAATATCAATTCCAAGTTTGCCCGTCATTTCTGTCGAGTCTTAATATATTCATAGTTGCTTTAAAAATTAAAGATGTTTATTTAAGGTTATTTAAGAGCAAGAAAAAAATTTATATCAGCGCGAACTAATGACTATGTGGAAAATTAAAATTGTTCTATCAAGCACTAGAAACATTGTATTGAAATACGGGAAAAAAAGTATTATATAGAAAAGTAAACTATATATTTTCTCATATAAATAAAATTATGTATTTATATAACTATAATAATTTTTATTTTATCTTAGCATATTTATTTTTTACTTCATATAATTTAAAATCAAGTTCTGCCATGGAATATGTCTGAAATATAATTTGTCAATGTCATTATATATGAAACCATATAATGTATATATACAATTAAAGATTTAAAGTAAAAATGATGAGAATAACTTGACGCACACATAATTATATAATTTAAATATAATATACATATATACAAAATATTTAACAACACTTACTCTTTTCTGGATACATGTTGAAATATTTTTTAAGTTAGTGATATTTTCTCTTACCTATAACAAATTTAAAATAATATTAAGTTATAATCTACAATTAAAATTTCTGAAAACTGCGATTAAATAATTGTCTTGTGATATTTGATAAAGAGAGTATTCTTTCAGTTGTCAATCTTTTCTTGTATATATATCAAAAATATATGTATAAAAGATTGCTTTTAGAGCATATATAACTATGAATAAAAATATGCAAGATAAAATTGCTATACCCAAAATTTCTTGTATTCTGGTGATATGCTTTCTAAATATAATATTCTATCTTCAATATTTTTCAATCTTTCGTAAATATCTTTGGGCACAGGTTTATTAATTCCTATTATACATTCTACTGTAGAAATTCTATCATCCAATACAGGAAAGCCATTAGTATTATTATAACTTGTATTATTCATAACTGCTTTGTGTAAAATTGATTGATCAATTGTTTGGGGTCCCCATGTGTTTAATACTCTGTGAACTGAGAAAGTAATTACAAATATATTGCATAATTATTCTTCAAGCATTCGTGCATGCTTTTGTCTTTGACATGCAAAAAGAGAGAAAAGAAATAAGTATAAGTATTTGTGTTTTTGAAGCGTCAAAATTTAAATTTGTCAATTAGAGAATTATTGCACATAATTAGAAAAATTTCAATTATATACAAATTATATATAATTATAATTATATATTAATTATTATATAATAACAAGAAGTACTGAAATAATCTAATTTGATATAATCTAGATTTATAAAAAAAATTTTAAATATATTAGCATTAAATACAATAATATACCTATAGAAACTAATGGATTAGCATTAAACAAAGCAGTACATCTGTAGAAACTAATAAAAAGTAACAGTAAAAATAGTAACAAAATAAAAAAAATAAAGGTAGATTGTATAAAATATATATCAAATAAATGCAATATCAAAATCAACCAAGTAATTACAGATTAATTTTATATTACTTTGCATTTTATATTACCTCTCACATGACTTTTGGAATCTTTGCGTCGAATAAGAATGGCATCTACTCTTGCACAAGAATTTTCATTATCATTTCTTTCACTGTGAATATATTGTTTACCGTTAAAAAAATTAACTAATTATAACAATTATATAAATTAACTAATTATAACAAAATTAATACAAATATATTTTAACCAATGACACAATCCAGCTAAATAATACAAAAACCGAGATCATTTTGAAAGAGCAAAAATAATGGCCTTAGATCACCCTTTGATTAGTTTGAAATGTTAAGGTCATATCAAGATTATTGATATCTTTTATTATATACGCTTTTATAGTCGACATCAAGGTGTTTTCGAAATAATAGTTATGAATCTTTTTACATTATTTAGTTTGAGAGATATGCATCTTAGAAGTTGAAGTATACTACTTTTATTCTACATACTGTGTACTATAATTATGAAATGCAAATAAATTATTTAATAGTTATACATGCGGTTCTCGCATTTCAGCAATAATAATGAACGAACCTGTGGCAACAAAATTCTTGCACATTCACAGTATTTACTTGCTGACGTTTTCGTTCAATAAATGATTTTATTCTACGATTCAATTCCTCTGAGTCTGCTCGAATTTGTACGAAATTTGGATCAATAACAATTTTATCTGATACTTCTTCATTTATATTTCGAACTGTCTTAACATCTTCACTCTTCAAAGCTATAAATCATATATGACATTTTCTATAAATTTTCTATAATATACTATTGTTAATTAACACAAATAAATATATGTTGCATTTAGTTTCACATGTAACATATTTCATCTAGTATTATGTTACATATTGTAAAGGCATCACTTTTAAGATTCCTGACATCACTGCAGTAATATTGAATTTTGATTAAAGCAAAATCATATAAATTTTCTGGAAAAATATTCTGCTATAAATTAAATTTTTTTGTATGCCACATACACATTCTTCATGTTCGATGATACGGACTAATAAAATGAAAATTCCAGAAATTCCCTTGTCATCTTGCATTAGTAAATGCATATATAATCCATCTGCATCTTACATTTTCAGCAAAAATTAAACTTATAGTAATTTATGATAATTAAAATTATAATTATTTATTAATCGTCGTAACATTTTCAGCAAAAATTAAACTTATAGTAATTTATGATGATTAAGATTATAATTATTTATTAATCGTCGTACTAAAGACTTCAATATATTTTTTTAATTTTTATTATCGAATGTGATAGCATACAAAAAAAAAGTTATTTTGATATATTTTGCAAGAAAAAGTTTTTATATGATTTTTCACTTCTGACATTATATCTCAATATGATGTTAGTGACCTATTATACTAAAAACTTCAAGATCATAAAATAATAAGACTTATTATATTTTTCGTTAAAATTTATATTCACTTAATAAAGACATCAAGATGCAAACAATTCTTAATAAATAAACTATTATAAACAAATTCATATGCAATAGACATTAAAGAAATTTGGTGTTTCAAAAACCGGTCAAATCTTTTTTTGGAAAAATAATTTGCTAAAGTGATAAAAATAGAAAATTCCTTTATAATATCTGTGGAAAAAATAAGTTTTAAAAGTTTTAAATAAAGGACAAAAAGAATATTTTTTTATAACTTAAGATATATTATATTTATCCAAAAAGATCGATAAATAAAATTAAGATTGGTTCGTTTTTAGAGAAAAATGTAAATAAGAGTAAACAAGAATTAGAGTTAAAGTACGAGTTAGCAAGCATAAATATCTGTGCAATTATATAGTGTTAACATTATAAATAGCAAACCTCACTTGAGTCTTTTTCCATTATAATATAAATATTGACTCTATGATTAAGAAAATATAATTTTTTATATACATATATTGCATGCATTTTAGAAGACATATATTTGGAAAAGTTCAAACTTAATAATAAAAAATTATTTACTATTTATCCATGTACACTCTTTGTTTTCTTTCCATTGTGTTTCTCCTATTTCATATACTTCTTTTTTCCAAATAGGCACTGATGCTTTTAATGCATTAATAGCATATTCTACTGCTTTCAATGATTCCTCTCTATGAGGAGAGGAAACCGCTATTACAATGCTTGCTTTAGATATCGGTACTTCTCCAATACGATGATATATAGCGATGCCTTCTATATTCCATTGTGCACGAATTTTGGTACAAATATTGATCATCTCCTTTAAAGCCATTGATTCATAAGCTTCATATTCCAGCTTAACTACCTAAAAAATTATTTAATTGAGTTCACAAATATTAATAAAAGAAGAGCATTATTCACTTCTTAACATAAACATTAAATATTTATCTAATAAGATTATTATTAATCATGTTAACATCATTAAGATATTATTAATCATGTTAATGAGTCTCTAAGTCTGACGAGAATTCTGGGAGCCAATTATATATATCTTTTTTCTTTACCAAAATAATGTGCAAAGCTGTAATTTTGTCTTACATATACCTTGTGTTTAAACTTTAAAGGGGAATACCATAGCACATAGTATATAGCATCTATATATATTATTATCTTTTAACAATTTTATAAATATATATAGCACCGTTAAAACATATATACTCAACATATTGAGAAAGATAAGAGAGTTTTATTAATATTTCCAAGGAAAATGTTCCAATATTTTTTGTTGCAATGTTCCCTAAATATTCCCCTTAACAGAAATCATAATTGGGCAAAGCAATTTAATACATATAATAGATGCTATTATTGAATAAGACTCAATCTGAATACTAGTGCTTACAAAAGTAATGGCTTATTCATAATACTTTGCAAAACAAGGTGGAAATTTATGTTATTTTTCTTTTCTACATGTATTTATATTATTCTTTATGCACTTATTTATTTTTTAAATTCCTTTTTATATAATTATATATATTTTTGTTTAAGTTAAATAGACTAATAATATTGCAAATCAAAATAATTTCTTTTTAGATAGGTAAAAGAGAGAAACAGTTTGTAAATTTAGTATTTCTTTACATTGTTTTTTAATATTAATTTTAATATTGTTAAATAATATTAGTCTGTCAAATCCTAACAGAATAAAATTGAATAAAATTTCCATCAGACTGAAATAGAGAAAAGATTAATAGTACGTCATTACTCTTAATAGTAATTAAGAGTAATGAGATACATACATTTTTATTTTAAGCAGATCAGGCATTTATATATCATTTCTATATTAAAAACATATTAAAATTTATATATCTATAAATAGTTCAATATAAACAAATATTTAAAATTTTAATTAAATTTAAATTAATTTCTGTGTAGTATATACTTTACCTTTCTATTTTCAAAATTATCTCGAGTGATCCCAATAAAATTAGATATTGCTCCACAGTTAGAAAATGTTACTAAATCTATGATTTCTGCAATATTTAATTCTTCCTGCTGTAACTTGACAAAATTTTTTGACGTTTCCATGTTATCCTAATAAAGTACAATCTAGCATAAATTCTTTCATTATTTATTATCATGGTAAATATTTAGTTTAATCTGCTCCACTTAAATTTTGATAAAAATACACTTAATTAATGTATTCTTTTTGCATAAAAACAAAGACATCGATTAAGTGTATTTTTATCAAAATTTAAATGGAGTGGGTCAAACTTGACATTAATCGTATTTGTATACGAACCTCCACTAAGTGGTGGAATAACTGCAATTTCGTCTTTCTCTGATAGCACAAGGATGCTATTTGGAACAACAAATTCCTCGTTCACAGCTAATATTAATTGGTTACGTATAGCTTCCAATTGAAAAGTACAGATAATTTTGTTAAGTAGATCAGCAGAAGATAATTTTCTCGGTATATAAATTTGACATTCCTTATTTCCAGTTAGTTCACGTGCTTTTGCAAAAAATAACACTGTAATCTGTATTTTCGTAGTTACATCCGTACTGCAAGTACTACCATCCATGTCCACAGACAGTGGTCTAGTTTCCACCGAAGTCTTCAATCCGATTCTGTTTCGTTTCGGTGCGCATCGAATTTAATTGTACTGTTTCCATCACAGACTTTTATATATTACTAGACCACTAACTCCCTAATGCCCGTATCAGACTACGCATTGAAAATTGAAGATTGAAGATTAAAGATTGGAATTTGACTAATACCACTCTTTATGGAATCGTAAAATGCGCGCAATAATAATTTGTTAAAAACATTTTTCTTACATTCCTTACTAATAATTATCAATTTTCAATATTATCAAAAATTTAATTATAACAATAATTTGATAACGTCATCATTATAAAACGTTTCCACAAAGAAAGCATTACTATACTATGTATTATCACTACACTATGAATTAATATGCTTGGTAGTAGCTTTAACCATGCGATTGCAAATAATATATAGATTTAAGAAACTTACATTTATGGAATTACATATGGGATTACATAGTACATGATAACAATTTATCTGGAATAACTCCTTTCAATCATGAAATACTAAAACTTGAATTTCCAAATTAATTACCAGACATGAAACAAATTTAACAAGTGATTCCATAAAACTAATAGTATTAATATATGGTGAATTCGATTGGATGCACTAGTGCGCACTAGTACGCACTGAGTGCGCACTTTTTCAGTATTTAGTATTCGGTTGGCTTGCCCTGTACTGGTTCAGTATTTTATGTGTATTCGGTTGATAGTGCACTAAAAATATGTGCTAGTGAAAACGTGTTCGACTGAACTGCATTATCCCAGTGCAGTGTTAAGGTACCTTTTTCTCTGATCTCTTGTTGATTACAAGTCGCATATTGCACATGTGGGCACCACCATAAAAAATTACTAAATGCACTATATTGGGATCAATGCCTGTAATCGCTCCCAGGTCAGTGCAAATAACCGCACTTGGGTCAGTATTAAACTATGCGCCAAACATGTGCGTCTGGTAACAAAAAGTTACTAGCCCGATGAGGATTTACCGCTAATCAATGGGCAATACTTAGAAATATTTTCATCATAGATTTCCATAGAAAACCTTCACCTTAATGAATTTCCAGAACGTAAACTAAATTCTTAGAATGATCTGCACACGGCTCGCAACGCTCTTGGTTTTCAATAGTATATAAGATGTAGATTTTCACCCATCAAGTCAGTACTCTCTTAGTCTGTTTAGTCTTCTTAGTGTCTTACCGTCTTAGTCTCAGTCTCTCAGACGCAATCGCGTGTCTTTCATCTTCAATCAGTCAGTCAGATCCCATACAGCACAGCAAGATTGCAGAAATATTGTGGCAATGTTTCATCGTAATATTGCAACATTGCATAAACGTTGTGAAATGTTGCTGCAAGATCGCTGCAAGCTTGCAGCAACGGTAAAATGTCCGCTTTCAGAAATATTACTATATAATATTGTAGCAGAGAGAAGCATGAGAGCGGCCATCCCGGCGTTTTCCGTACGATAGCTTTTCGGTCCCGTACAGCAGCACCTCTACGTCCATTTTACAGCCGCTTGGAATTACATAGCCACGTCCACTTTCGATGGCATGGTAAACCACCGTTTGGTGTGAGTCCGTGCTACGTCCATAATTGTAAATTCACTAATACGTTGACGCCGTCGTCACCTATCGGCCGCCTATCAAAACTATATAGCTCAGAGTCAACG